TGACCTCACAGGCCCCTTCACAGCCATAGGCCTCCTACTGGATTGGGAGTTTCTGGGACACAACTGACCTCATCATACCATACACATCCATCCTGCTCTCTACGGCCCAGGACCTGACAAGATAAAGGAATGCTTGTTTTATCAAATTTATCAAAGATATTTCCTACTAACAATTTGAGTGGAGAAACATTCTTCACAGGAACTGCTGCATTTCTGTTGACACATTTTATATCTCCTCTGCCTCTTTATTTTTTTATTCGTCTTCCTCCACCCATTCTGTCTTCAGAAGCCTCTCCAAGGGAAAGATTCACTGAATCACAGAATAATTCAGGTGTGAAGAGACCCCTGAACATCCCCTTGCCTCACTCTCCTGCTCAAGGCAGGGTGGACCAGATGAGGCTGTTCAAGGCCTCTGTCCAGCTTTGCATCATCCACAAAGGAGCTGAAAGTGCGCTCCAACACACCCTACAAGGGGATGATCAAGACATTCAACAGTGTTGGCCCAAGTGCTGGCCACTGAGGGCTGCTACTAGTAGCTGCCTGCTCAGAGGACTTTGGACCCCTGATGACATTTGGGCCTGATCGCCCAGCCAACTTCCCCCCCAACGTCCACTTCTTCAGCCCAGACAACACTAATCTGGTGATAAGGACACCATGGCAGACCATGTCAAAGGCCTTGCCAAATGCCATGTACACAGCATGCCTTTCTTCCCCTACCCATTTTGGTTCAGCAATCCCTTTGTTGTCCTTCAGGTTCTTGGAAATGGCTTCAGGACGATGTGTCCCATCACCATTTCAGGGATGGATGTAGGCTGACCAGTCTGTAATTCTGCCAATTCTCTTTCTTGTTGAGGATGGGATTGACGTCTCCCTTTTCTGAGGACCCCTGAACCTCTCTCTTTGCTCTGACCTTTTTGAGAGCACAATCCAGAATCATGGGCATGGGTGATGTAGCAGACAGGAGCACTTGCAATGTCCAAGGAAGCTCAGGAGAATCTCACTGGGCCAGAGGGTTTTTTTCCTGGACTTACACAGAGAAATGTCAGGGTTCTGTCAGGCGCACACATCTGAGCTGGTCTCATGGACTCCTGATGCACCCAGGGGTGTTCACAGAGGCAGTGCACCGCAGGAGTCCTCGTGTCTCTGTGGCCTCCTGCTGCCACTCCCAGAGGCTGGGAGGCACCTCAGCCATGTGGTGTGTCACCCTGCTCTGCACTCATCTGAGATGCCCCCCAGGATGAGGACTGGACAAAGGGACCATGTTCAGGGAAGGACATCCCAGTGCTGCATTCAGGTGGTTTCCCATGGGAGGTTACTCCCAACATGAAGTGACCTCGAGGCACTGTCTGTCCCACAGGCCTTCATGGAAGCCCAAGGAATAGCTGATGGTGTTTGTGCTCACTCAGATTCCTCTCACCTCACATATGTGATGTGCATGCTTACATCTCATCTGTACAATGCAAATGTGGACTTCTGACCTACTCATTCATTGTCCTTCCATGGAGGCACAAAGAACCTCTCCAAGCTAGGCTGAGGGGCCAGAGCTGGAAATGGTGGTTGTGAGGGGCCATTCTGGAATGATTGCCCTGGGGCAGCTTCCCCAGGGTGTCCAGGAAACATGGGCACAGACCAGACCCTGCTCTGCTGGTCCTTCAGGTCTCTCGCAGGAGTCCTGGCTATGCAAGGACACTGCTGCGTGACCCAACCCTGCACACTCACATTGTTTAGCTCTATATTGGTGTTTTCATCTGTGGGCCCCTTTCCTGGGCATGTTCTTGAGAGGAGCTTTGAAGGAAGACCTAAGCCTTCAGGCACTGCCCTGAGGAGATCACCTTTCCTTATGGAAATGCTGTTATGGAGGCCAGCTCTGTCACAGAAGTGGCCATTGCCTGTCCCTGCCTGTGGTCAAAGGACTTGCATGCAGCAGGACTGTGACCAAGCTGCCAGACTACTCAAGGCTACAAAAGCAAGTGCTCAGAAAGAGGTTATGGAAGTGGAAAGAGACCCTGTTAGCCAAGAGGCCTTAGAAGGCAAAGCGTTGGTGCTCCCTGGCAGTGCTGCCATGTTGCGACTCTTTTCCCCTCCACCCATGCACACAGAAACTGCCATGCAACTCCAAAAAGGTATTGGAGGAAAGATCGCAGAAAAAAATAGTCACTGAAAGGCCTTTTATTTTGTTTAAACACCCATAGCTGGGCTTCTCGTTTACACAGCCACTTGGTCAGAAAAGCAAAGCAGACAGTGAATTAGAAAGGAGACAACAACATTATCAGAACCACCACCACCATGAAAAAAATTTCAGAAGACAGGCTGGGCCTTCAATGAGTTACATTATAGCTGCTATGCAGAAGAAATTTATTGCTTCAGAAAACCATCCAGATATCAGTTTCCACACTGCATCCTTGAGCTCCTGGTTCCTCATGCAGTAGATGAGGGGCTTCACTGCTGGAGGAACCACCACGTACAGAACTGCCACCACAAAGTCCAGCAAAGGAGAGGAGATGGAGGGGAGTTTCAGGTAGGCAAACGTGGCAGTGCTGAGAAAGAGGGAGACCACAGCCATGGGGGTAGCTCACCTGATCCTTACAGGCACTTCACTCCACATCTGTTTTGGTCGAGTTGGGTGCTTTCCTGTGACTATGGAAGAGAAGAACCATTTCAGAAGAGGTGGACATAAAAGCCCAGGAAAGCTCTGGAAGAAACCAGGAAGATTGTAACAAGCACAGGGAAGATCCAAAATTCTCAAGGATTCTTCTGAAGAGTGAGTGGCCCTGAGCAGCAGTGATTGGCTGTGTTTAAATATGGTAGAGAGGGTCTGGGCTGATGGAGTCTGAGCCCAGAAATGGAAAGCAGTTGACGTCTATTGGCGCGGGAGAGAATGAGAATGTTTGTCCTGGGAAGATGGTAGGAAGGAAGGCCCCTCCTGTGCAAATCAGGGATGATCCAGTTGTTTGCACCCATGGCTCATCTTAGGAGACAGGGAATGTCTGGTGCTGGGAGTGCCTGTGCTCTGTCATGCCCCAGGAGCTGATCTTCCTCTCCCTCCCTCCCCATACTTGCCTCGATCTCAGGAAACATCCATGAGCCTGGAGGGTGGACTAACCTCCTGTCTGAGGGCAAATACACTGAGTTTTGATTTTGAGGTAGCAGAAGAAGGAGCATGTGCAGTTCGGTGTTGGGATATGGAGAAGCTGGCGGTTCATGGCCTAGATGGATATACTCTTTGCTGGGTTAAAAACTGGCTGGATGGTCAAGCCCGGAGAGTCGTGGTGAATGGAGCTAAATCCAGTTGGCGGCTGGGCACAAGCGATGTCCCCCAGGGCTCAGTTCTAGGGCTGGTCTTGTTTAATATCTCTATCAATGACCTGGAAGAGGGGATTGAGTGTGCCCTCAGTAAATTTGCAGACTACACCAAACTGGGCGGTAGTGTTGATCTGCTGGAGGGGAGGAGGGCTCTGCAGAGAGACCTGGACAGGCTGGATCAATGGGCCCAGGCCAATTGGGTGAGGTTCAACAAGGCCAAGTGCCGGGTCCTGCACTTTGGTCACAACAACGCCATGTAATGCTACAGGCTTGGCAAAGAGTGGCTGGAAAGCTGCCTGGTGGAAAAGGACCAGGGGGTACTGGTTGACAGCCGGTTGAACATGAGCCAGCAGTGTGCCCAGGTGGCCAAGAAGGCCAATGGCATCCTGGCTTGTATCAGGAATAGTGTGACCAGCAGGAGTAGGGAAGTGATCGTGCCCCTGTACTCGGTGCTGGTGAGGCCGCCCCTTGAATACTGTATTCAGTGTTGGGCCCCTTGCTACAAGAAAGACGTTGCCTTGCTGGAACATGCCCAGAGGAGAGCAACAAAGCTGTTGAGGGGTCTGGAGCACAAGTCTTACTTGGAGCGGCTGAGGGAACTAGGGTTGTTTAGTCTGGAGAAGAGGAGGCTGAGGGGAGACCTGATCGCCCTCTACAACTGCCTGAGAGGAGGCCGTAGCCA